TATTATTTACTTAGTTATATTATGTTTCCTATGGTTATGGATCATGTTTCTAATGTCTAAATCATACATATTTTTTGCCAACTGGGTCTAGCATGGTGAAAAAGACCCTGACTTGTAAACATTTTATAAAAAAAATTCTTTCATACATTTCATCAACTCTCTTGTAGTTCAGAATATCACTTGTACTCTTAATGCTAAATGTATTGATATTGTGGTCAAATCATGATGCATTCCAGTTATTAAACACATGAAAAGGTTATCATAGAAAACAAGTCATTAATGGTTTTCTATTTTAATAGAATTTCTGTTTTTTTTAATTATTCTTATTATTTGGGAGAGCCATTTGAACTTGAGTCTCTTGCACCATTTGAAAGAGAAATAGTATTAGACCAAGATAACAGTTGTAATAAAATCTAAATGATCAAGACCCGTCATTATTATTCTTAGCATTTTCTTGATCATAAGACTACAAGGCCCTATTTGGTACACCTCCTTGGATTGGCTTGGATTGGACTAACTTAAATAACACCCCAAGCCCATGTTTGGTGCAGCCCATCTTTAAGTTAAATGAGACTATACAATCCTGGCCTACAAAAAACACTTCACTCGTTGGCACAAAATAGAGAACTCTGAAGAGGTGCCGCTAAATAACGAAGTCGCTATGGAGTTTGCCATTATCCAACCTTCCTGTGCTCTGCTCTTCTCTTCGACGTGCTCTGGCTCTCCTCTTCCACGTTACTTTGTTTTCATCTTTTGTTCTGCTCTACTCTCACTCACTCAAGGTTAGTTGTTCAACTCTCTTCTTCTCTTTCCACTCTTCTTCTCTGTGTTGTCTCTCTCTTTGGTGATATTTGATGGGTTCAATTTTCTATTTCTTAGTTTGATTTTAAAGTTTGATTATGTGGTTGTTTGTAGTTATTAGCTTAATTTGATGAGAATTAACATTTGTATTGGTTAATTTTCATTGGATTATAATTGGGTATTTTTCTAGGGTTTTCAATTTTGAATTGTTTTGATTATGGGGTTTTTGTTTGGAATGAGAAGAATAGGGTAGAGGTCATGTGGCTAATTGCACGTTGTGTTTGCAAACAGACATTTGGTTTTTGCAAACTATGACTGCAATTGCATGTTGTGTTTGCAATTACTTAGTGACGGTTTGACAATTTGCATTAAGGAACTTGAGCTTTCACATTTTGGAAATGTTCTATGCAATTTGTGGTTTCTGTTTCATGGATTATAATTGAGTATTTTTCTAGGGTTTTCAGTTTTGAATTGTTTTGATTAAATAAGAAGATATGAATAAATTGATGGGTGGAATTGGAGCTTTGAACAAATTTAATGAAAGTCATTGCCGTTTGCAACAGAATGACTAGATATTAGCAAGTGAGAAGAAGAAAAAAAGGGAATCAAATTTCTTCCATCCACCATCAATTTGCTCAAAGTTAAGCAATTCACAAAAGTTGAATATCTTTAGAAGGGCCTACTTTGTCTTATTTATTGGCCTAAAGCCACATGGGTTAGAAATTGGTTGTTGCGGAGTCAAATTCTGGCAGAGTCTTGTGAAATCAAATAACTAATTCTGACATCGGCCTTTTGCAGAAAAGTCTTGGATCAGATGAAAGAAACACAGCTGATATATTGGAAACACCACAAGTGCATCTCCAACCTTAGAAACACCACAAGTAGCTGCTATAGCGTTTGTTTTTGCTGCTTTATTAGTCTCAGTTTGGAATTGTGGATATTTATTTATATATGTTATTTAGTGGGTTTTTGGTTGATTATTATTATTGTTAGTCTGTGCGCTTGTGGAAAGTAATATGTGAACGTGAATTTGTAATTTCAAACCATGTGGATGATATATATAAAATATCTAACTTTTGCATCTATAAATATTGTATGACTTTTGCTTTATATGATGTTGGGATGGTTTGGTGCTTGTCTCACCACCATGTTTGAACAAAGAAAAGAAGAATAAAAGGGTAGAGGTCATGTGGCTAACCGCATGTTGTGTTTGCAAACAGACATTTGGTTTTTGCAAATTGTGATTGCAATTGCATGTTTTGTTTGCAATTACTTAGTGACTGTTTGGCAATTTGCATTAGGGAAGTTGAGCTTTCACATTTTGGAAATTTTAAAATATATAGGCAAGTTTTGGAAAATTTAATACCAATTTTTGGTCTTGGAATTATAGTAAAAAGTCATATATAGTGAAGTTGAGCATGATGCATTCCAGCTATTAAACACATGAAAAGGTTATCATAGAAAACAAGTAATTAATAGTTTTCAATTTTAATAGAATTTCTGTTTTTTTTTATTATTATTTGGGAGAGCCATTTGAACTTGAATCTCTTGCACCATTTGAAAGAGAAATAGTATCAATTGTAATAAAATCTAGGGTTATTCGCAGCAATGGTCCCTCAACTATACCCATAGTTACACTTTGGTCCATCAATTCAATTATTAGTTGCGG